CGTAAATGCCTTAAAGCCTAAATCGCATATATTTTACAAGTATAATGGTTGTCTTACATAAGATTAATCAGATTTTAGATTTACAAATAAAAAATGGTGCATGTACTTATGTACGCGCGTAAGAAGTTATGCTTCTTTGGCTTTCTTTAATTTTTTTAAATATTAAATAATTAATAATTAATATTTAGCGTTTATAATTTAACAATATTTAATATTTAGCATATTATTCAATTATTAATTAATATTAATATTAATAATAATTATTTATTATTTTATTAATTCAATTTAATAACTAGGTATGTTTCATAACCTTTAAACTAAGTAACAATAGGTCTTTGTGAAAAAGCATTGCTAATTTTCTTTGAAAAAATAATTAAAACTCCTTTATTTGTTTAAAAGGTACTACAAAAATGTCATTACGGTCATTCAAAATTCTTGGCATAGCTAACGTCACGCATATTCTATTTCTTTTTACTTGTAGATTGTCTTATTCCCATCTCGCTCGCGCACGCTCGGCGCCCATACTGATAATTTTGTGTCACGGTGCGCGCGCATCGTAAAATTTCACTCTCATAAATTTTTCATAAAGAAGTACAACTTCAAAAATAAATAAACCATAAAAGCAGGTTTTCTAATCTAATTCATTATTATAATTCAAATTAAAAAAATGTAATGAACACATTACTGTGACCGCTTTTGTAAATCACTCGATGTTAATTTATTAACAAGTAAATAATAATAATAGTACTACTTACTAGTTATATAACTCAGTCAGTTTCTTCTGAAAGTAACCGACGACTTCGGAATCCAAAAAATACTGAATTTTATTTAAATTTGAAAATGAACAGCCTGTATAAGTCATACTTCAATAGAGACTAAAGGCGGCGAGGCCCTGTCGTGTGCGACAATATTTATGCCCGCAATATTAACTGCCGTGAGACAACAATTTACTTGGAATTGTTTCCAAAATTTTCTTTAAGGGATACATAATTTTAAGTAGGTTACAATTTTTTATTACAATTACAAAAACGTTAATTCATTCATTAGCGTTAACAAATATTAATTTATTAATACATTGTATCGCGTGTTTAGTCTACTAGAATCAGCTGACTGTAACACCATCCGCCACTAGTGTTAGCAGAAATGACCGTTGTTAGTAGAAGAGGGCTGGTTGCCAAAAATTTATAAACGAATGCACGGTACATAAAATATGATTTTATAAGGAATACCGGAAGTGTAATGCGTGTACAAAGTATACAATATATAAACTTATATGATCTATGGTAAAAGAATAATATATATTATAACATAAAATAAAATATATCGTCCTTAATAATATTTTCTTGTATTTGTACTTATATATATCTATACACTCCCTGTGACAGTATTTGTATTTTACGAGTTCCTTATCATTTAATTTTTCCCGGTTCAAATATCAAGGTCCGAAATTTAAAACATAAACATCGCCTCGGGCGTATCTAAAATACTGTAATATAACAAAACCCCATCTTTAGCATTAATCGAGCAAAAATGTGTTCGGGATAGACCTCAATATATGATTCGAGGTCCGAAATCGGAAGGGTGATCGACGCATCGAAGCGTCCGGTCGCCTCGGGGCAAATACAAAAATCATTCATATGGACAAAATAAAATTGCATCCCAAATAACCTCGTGTTCATCCACCGGAAATCTATTAGCAATAAATATGAACTTTTCCGATTTAACCGGATAGCAGTAGAACTGTGATCAAATTTAACTTTCTTATTAGTATTTTATGTGACGGTAGTTTTTGAGTTACGATAAGTTTCGGCCCAGTACATCTACATGTCCAGTGTCCAGTGCTAAATAGAAGATGGGGGCGCTCTCTTACCGTTCAGGTCCTCATACAGACACTTTACGTGTGTAATCGTGATCGGTATGGTTTTGCACAACATTGTGAACACTCTTTTTTCTCCAGCGTGGAGTCTAAATGGAGCTCCTTAACCGCTACCTGGATTGGATATGTCCCTTCCCGTCATAGTTAAAGCCTTACAGAAAGCTTTGAAAGTGTTCCAACGTCGTGTTGTGTTTTGTTTCCAGAATTCAACCCTCAACGCGAAAGAAGGGCTGGGAGACGGCGATGTGATGCGACGCCAGTTCTCCACTGTGACCTTCGTACTGAATCAGGCAAATTTGGCTGAGCACTGGCATAGCAGACTCTCCTGACGGGGATACGGAAAAAGGAAAGTATTACCATGCCTCTCATCCATAGCGAGCAGATGGAGTTGTTGGGTTGTAGTGGGTAGGTGTCCACTAAAACACAACAACTCCCTAACACCCGCGTCACTTAAATAAATTGCCCGGCGCGGGGGTCTATAAATGAATTTCACACAAATAAAAAAAAATATCCTTTTTGGACAAAATAATTCTGTTCTTTCAAATGATAAATAAATAAAATCAAAATAAGTTTATTCATTTGACAAGTGTGTGTGCATGTGAGTGAGTGAGTGAGGGAATGAAATGTGATAAGTTAAGTTCTACACATTAGGTCTCAGGAGCATCTCCAACACTGCGTAAGTTGTGTTCATAAGCCAGCCCTTTAAACGTATTTTTAGATTGTAGATGGTGAGCGACACCGCCAGACTATATGTAGCCTGGCGTAGTCAGTCCTTACGGTCTGGCCGACAACATCCCTATTTCGTTTTGGGAACAGCCTACTATCACACGAGAGCGATCTGTTGATCCGCTTTTAAAATTACACTTAGGACATACAGCTTCCTAATGGAAAGTAATTGGCTGAGCTCTACCGATAGGAATCTGTATGGCCTGTATGATATATATTCAAGTAAAGTAATTCTTAATTATCTATCTATTCTTAAATATATATATTGCTACCATTTTATATGTAACCATGAGGTTCTACATTTGTTTCGTTGATAATTCTTAAATGGGCTTTGTCGGTTGCTTGTGTCTTTCAAAAATTATGTTGCTATATTGTCTAGCATGAAAGACAAGACAATTCTTTATTACAAATTTTACAAGTATTTAATAACACAACTGGTGTTAGTTGATTGTAAATACTATGGAATGAAGGTATTCTTCTCTATCGATGTATAAGAAATGAATAGACAAAATAAATAACACAGCTTTAAGAAAAACAACTAAGAAAACAGATGTCACAATAAAAAAAAAACTTAGGTGGAAATGGGTGGGGCCCATGGCAAGAGGAACAGAAAAGTGGAGCAAAAAGTACTAAACTGGTGCCCAAGGTACAGCAAACGAAAAAGAGAAAGACAACTTAGAAGGTAGGAGTAAGAATAGACCAAATTAAAGAAACAGTACTTGGCAAAGAGTGGCACAGTACTGAGAGGAATAGCAGAATTCGGAAGAGGCATTTGCCAAAAAGGGTACACAACTAAAATAAGATTGAAATAGAACCGTGTTTAAATGTAAAAGTATCTGAATTAAAAGGCTATTATTATTATTATTACTATGGAATGAATGAGGCCTACATAATTGAATCTTAATGTGATGTATTGACATGCTAAATTTGCATGCCTTTTGTTTGGTGTAGCATGCTTCTTCAATAATTTTAATAAGTTTCATATTGATCACATATTAAGGTTTTTTGTAGGATAAATCAAACACAAACTGATAATTTTCCCTTTTAATCTTGATATTTTCTCTACGATACAAGGCACACACACAATTTAAGTAAAATATGATTACAATAAAAATAATAAATAATGCTTGCATACAAGAACAAAAGTGTGAAGCGTCCATGAATTGACAAAAATTACCACAAGTGTATGCCAAAAGAATTTAATAAAACGCACTTGTTGGAAAATAAAGTTACCATATCGGGAACCACATTCACGCGCTGTACAACCACACAAGTTCATTCAGCTAAACATTTATAATAACAACTAGATTATCCATTACTCATTACCCATTACAGATAATATGTAAACCGACAAGCTTCGGTCCATCGGCGCCTGACTAGATTTCTTCAAATCCTTGCATCTTATTGAATAGTCAAACGCCGATCGATTCTATGTTCTAATGACGTTATATTCGTTTCGTAATCTATGTACCGATAATGCTATCCTTTTATCTTCCATCTATAACCCTAACTTATAATTAATCTCGTACTCTTGTAGATATGGGATGTGTTACTATTATACAATATCTACTAAGCAATTGTTGAAACGCTTTCAGTGAACAACTTTTATTCAGTCATTATTATTGTAAGTCAAAGAACTGTTTAACTGCTATCTTAACGTAATTATCGTACACTATAAGGTATTTCTAGTATCAGTTACAGCTAATCATTGCACTAAATTTTAATTAATTACATGAAGATCACATGTCCTTTTCGAATTGATAAAATTTTAAATTCTGAACAAGCTATGGTCTAAGAAAGATAATAAAGCCAGAATGAAACTAATTTAAACTCAAAAAAGATCTATCTATTTTTGAGTTTAGATAAAACAGTCTTCTATCAATTCCAATGGTTTCACAAAATTGTATTCGATATCGACGTTAGAACAGATCTTCCAGAAAACATTACTGCTGATTAAAGTCTTAAACGTAAATATGGCATTCGTAAATGTTTCAAGGTACATTAAAGATTAAAATATGTTCGTGAATAAATAACATGAATCGATCTTAACGCTAACATATAAAGAAATATTTACAAATTTCACTATGGAAGAAATGTTATCGTAACCTCGTCTTATGCAATAGCTACACGCTTACATTATTTACACTTACAATCTCGAATCGAGATCTTATACATTGAAATATTAAATATTACGAATTGATTTCAATATACATGAACAATGATCGATTTTATCAGTAACATCCGTTAGGATCGACTACTTGAACTGTACCAATAACAATCTTTGGATTCATTTTTCTCTAAACTCAGGTTTGACACTAATCATAGGTTTTCTCGTATCGTCGTTATCTTTATCGCACTCTTGGTTGTCGGGGTATTCGGGGACCCCGGTGCTCGTCAGCTAAGTGGCTGAGCTGAATAGCACTGAGTTCTTGTAGTAAGCAGCACGGTCGGATAAGGGACTCTTCACATCTCTTTCGAGGGCCTGCTGCCGTGATTTGCGCTCCATTTCTAACTCCTGAGCCAAGGATTCTGTTGACAAACAAAATTCAATGTTTAATATAACATTTCTTATATTGTTTTATGTGCTGCCGCGACCTTGCTGACAGCTCCATCATCCTATCTGGCATAATTACTATAATACGATAACTTCGCACTACGATATACTTCTTACGAAATATTTGTTGGTGTTGGATTTGTAATAACTAGAACCTTATTTACTAGATATCAAAGACAAAGTTTAGAATTACTTAAGTTTGGACTTTTTCATACCGGATGGCCGTCTCTGCACCCAGGTCATAACAGATTACTGGATTTTAAATATAATTATTTCGGTTTGACACATACCTACTGAATGAAAACCTTAAAAACATCAATAATACAAATAGAAATGTGTTCGTTTCGTGACCAATCTATGGCTTACGATATATAGTTTCCTCCTACATAAAGAGGTTATATTTCAAATACGTAATTTTAATTACAGAGTTGACGATTGTCATATAACCCATACATGTACCATGGAAAATGTCATTAACGTTGGGAAAATCTGACATCAAACGGAGTCCGCATCTCCATGGCACTTCCTAATTTAATATTCGATATTCCCTTCGGTAAAAACGTACACTTGCCATATTAGAATCGTTTATTAAATTGTGAAAGGGTTGATACTCATTTGCTCTGCGTTCGACACGATGTGAATGTAATTTTCACATACACAACAGCACTTTGATTCTATTTAATGTAAATTGAAATCGCTATTAGACCCAGAATGCTAGAAGTCTTTAAAAATGTGACACATTTATGGGTCACAAAGCGAAAAGCCCGCGTGTTCAATTAATAAAGTTTATTATAGATCAAGAAAAAATAAATAAATGATATTTGAAAATTATACAACAAACTTGGACCATATTGCCTTTTCTTTTTTTTTTTCTTTCTTGGCCTGCACGGTTTGTACTTCAGTCATGCACAAAGGTTAGGAAGTGTGTTATTGTATTTATTTTATTGAATTGGAAATTGGCACGGAATTTAGAAAAGGATCGGGTAAATTCATATTGCCTTTATGAACAATTTTAACCTGTAAGGCACAAACTAAGTCAAAGTAAAACACCATCAAATATTCTTACAAGATTTTAAATAAATTGACAAAGTTTAAAAAGGCCCAAATAGGTGAGGTAAGCCAATTGTCTCTCAAAACGTCGTATTTCACGAAATATGCTTATTCAATTTCATGCAACGCTTGTCGCCTCCTGCAATTTACGAGATATAAAAGATATAAACGGAATCTTTTTTGCTTACTTCTTAATAGAGGAGAATATTCAATTCAAACGAAAATGATTGTAAAGTTAGGTCTTTGTGCGAGATTTATTAAATGGACTTCTGGTAAGCAAATAATCCAACGAATTTAACAATTTTGCTATATTTATGAATTTTAATACTGCGTAGTAAGATAGTCCAAACATATCTGTTATTACATTCCTTGTATTTTTGTATTGGTAAAAACTAAATGTAAGTAAAAAAATTGTCAAAACCATTTCATTGTTTCTACGTTACCGAATTAAAAGCTTAAGAAACTAACAGGCCCCAAACTTGACACTTTCTTGATACAAACTCATCAGTGTTTATGGCATTTGTTTTGTGCAAGATTAATTTGTCAGTTGAAAAAACTCAATTATAATCCGATTTGTTCAGTGTAGACTGGCTCCAGGGCGTCACACTCACAAGTGTCGCTCATCGAGGGTTGTCCCGAAACAGAAACCTATTATCCCGGGCGAGATTATTCGCCTAGGGCGTCACAATTAAATATTATACACTTAAAAGCTTCGGCCTTTGCCGTTTCACTTCGCTGCCACCCCTAAATGTCCCATTAGGTCTGTTTGAATACGTAATATTTTTGCATTTGCTGCTTTTAAAATAAGATTGCCGGTTCCTTTGAGTGCTATAATCTATTTGTTCTTTGAAATAACTGTTATGCTTGAGCGCTCTCCTAAAGAGTTTTCCGTGAACCGTCTGCTAAAGTTATTATATTATTAGATATACATCAAAAGGATAAGTAATTGTTTTTCATTACTAAAAAATTATATGTTTTGTTTGATTTGGTAGAATAACCCTCTAAGTGGTAAAAAGTCCAATCTATGCAGAGTAACGAATCGATTATATAATTAAATAGATTTCCGAGCAATAAATTGCGTCACCGATGTTTTATCGATTCTAAAGATAATAAATTTCTCGCTTTGTTCTCACAAAAACTTGCCTTTTTCAGTTGTTTAATTTTAAACATAAATGTCATTGTTCGAAACTTTTTCGAAGGCTTTGAAACTTTTTGTAACTCAATCGCTTTGTAAAAAACGTAACACGGTATTCGACACGGGTGTATTAATTATTGTTAGAAAAATAATTATATTTGTTTCAAAGGATATTTTTCACAAACTTGAAGCTTCAAAGCTTTGAAATATTAAATTTAAATTTTTTGGACAAAACAGAAAGTAAATATGGTTGACTACGCGTTATACTTTAAATTACCATATTAATAAGATTCCTATTGTCAAAAGTTAAGTGTGAGAGGTATTGAGAAGTTATATATTTCAGAGAACTGCCGTACTCAGTCTTAGAGTTTAGAGAAAAAATATAAAGAAATAAATTAAAAATTATGTCTAAAGCTCACCTACGAAACGAATAGAATTTTTGACTACAAAATGACTTAAGTAACTATGACCGAGAGCAATGTTGGCCTAGTGGCTTCGGCGTGCGACTGTCATCCCTGAGGGCGTATGTTCGATCACCGGCTTTGCACCAATGGACATTCTGTCTATGTGCGCATTTAACACTACCTTGTACGCTGAATTAAAATACAGCGTGTGTCAGGCACAACAGGCCCATCACTTGCCCATTTGAAAAACTAATGATTACGAAACAGATACTGAGGCCCAGATCTAAAAGGTCGTAACGCCACTGGTTGTTAGCGCTACGGATTAGTCAAGGACAAAGGTCAAATTTAGTAATCTGATAGAGTTAAAAACTAAATAATTTTAACGCTTTCTTTGGATCTAAAGTGTACACAATATGAATGCATTGTATGAGGCTAAAACCATTTATAGCGAGTTGGCCCTTCTAGTACTGAAGCGTAACAAATTAAACTGATTGAATTCCTATTATCGTATCAAGATTTTTTCAAAGAATCAATTTCATGACAATTAAAATACGTTTAAAAATAAATAAATGTTTCTTGTTCACAAATTGAATTAGTATATATATTGCATATTTTACATTATGAACAAAAAGTTAATATCGTCAAAGGTTTCGGGCGCACCTGTGCGGTACATTTTATTTCCATTCATTTTACAAGCGCACCTAAAAAGTTGCCTCTTTATTAATTTTTCAACTTTGTATTACTTAACATCCGTTGCTTCATTCGTATGGTATACACAATGTTAAAAATGTAATGTATGGTATACAAAATTTCCATAGCTGGATGATGGAATATGGAACCCAGTATGGTATTGCCAACGTAATTATTATATTATGTTTATTCATTTATTTTCATCTCTCAATTTGCATATAGAATACACAAAATTAAATAACATTTTTAAGGGTAACAACTTAGTAAAAGTGGATCAAATACTATTTCTCTATTTATTTCACATATTAACTCTTGATTTGTTGTTGAAAAAAATTAAAAATAGGTTTATATGGAATCTAAAAATATTTTTTTTTATTATCTGAAAATTATTTTTCAATGGAATCAAAAATTTTAAGTCGTTTCTAATTTTTTAATAACATTAACTTTTTAATAGAAACTCATTCGAAAATTATAAATTTTTTTGGTATTGTTTAATTGAACTTCAACGAGTAATGTCAATTATCATGAATTTTATGCTTTTAATTGTTGTATTTGTCTCCGTCTCGAATACCAAAAAAAATATAAGAAAATTTACGATAAAATTAATTCTCGGTTTAAATATCCTATTAGGCTGTACGAAGTTAGCCAGGTCAGCTTGTCACGAATAAATAATGAATCCAAATATTTAAAACAATCTCTAATGTCGAATCACAATTGCAAAATACTTTGATTCGCGTGTTAGCGTGTATCAGACAGTGGGGCAGCACTTAAATTAGTTGCAATTTCAACTCGGAAAGCACTCGTTTCAATAGGGGAAATCGTTTGCTGTATACACGTAAACCTTTTGACTCCATAAATATGCAAATGTCAAATGGCAAAGTACAATTGATATTAAGTTAATTACCATCGCCCTATTTTGATTAAAGTAGATGATGAGTGGAAATCTATTAAATAAAATATACGTTTAAAATATTGCATATTAAATTATTTTTGTAGATAAACATTTATAATTATTAGTATATATAAGGAACACAGTTACTCGACCGGTTCGGTTCTATTGAACTCCTTATAAATAATATAATGTTTAGCGCTGATGTTGATACATAGATATTTACATATATATATATACACAGATATTGTGATACATAGATATTTCATACATACATAAAATCGCTCATAAATAAAATCGGAATCAGTATAGTAGTTACAGAGTACAGATGCAGGTTTAAGATAACTAATCTAGAAAATTTAGGGCAGCGAATGTCCAGTTCCGACCCATATTTAAAGGTTTATTATGTAATTGATATTTTTACTAAATGTTCAAATTCTCATAGTGGTTGCTTGGAAGAGATCGCTCGAAAGCGAAAAGGCCGCCAGTTGCCCTCCTTTACATTTAATTATGTTTAATTTTTATATTGTAATGCAACGAAGTATAAATAGATAAAATAAAAATAAATAAATGGTTGGTTAACTGAATGAACAATTCTGAGAACTTTTACATTCATCAAATATAGGAAGGCATCATCAAAAGCTTTAAAAATTCAAGTAAAAATATTAATATTTAAATAAAAAATTAAACTTCAACTATCCATGTTTAAATTTTCAATAAATAAATTAAAGTTATTGTATGGGTTTTATGAATTTTCTTTCCCAAAAGCCATCAATGCCCAAAAACCAATAACAGCATTCCAGGGGTTTTCAATTCACAATTCGAATCAAAACGCCCCAATAAAATTACATTGTGCATGTATCGTTCATTTTGTGCTTTTAAAATACTTGACATTTTCAATTCTGTATGGTATGAGTATAAAATTTTGATGTCGAATTTCCTTTTTACAACCCTCTTGCTATGATTTCCTTTAGAAACGCGTTTTTTATTATTGTTTATTCGTTCAAAGAGTACTAAACAGATTATTTCTATTATCAATCGCTTGGTTTATATATAAGCTATGTTTAACAATTCTTTTATGTTTTCTAATAGAATTCATAAAATTTGTGAAGTCATATTTTCTTGTATATTTTAAGCATATATATGTTATATTTGGACTTTTAAATAGGCAGAACTCAAATACTGTATCAAAATATTAGAGTTAATATAGAAAGCGTCATAATTATGTTAAACCAAAAAGAGATAGTATGAGATGTTGATACTCCGAACATAATAAGAATTATGGATTAAAACATATTATATTTCCCATAAATTAAAGTTATCAGAATGAATAGTGGGACATATTCTTACCAGAGTAATTCTGCCAGAAAGCGGCTCCTCCGCTCATAATGTCCACTGGTGGTGGGGGATAGTTCCATTGCGGTTTGTCCGGTGTTCTTGGTGGCTCCCGCTGGAATGGTGGTGAGGTGGTTGGCGGTTCAGTGCTTGGCGGCTTACTCTCTGTGCCGTTCTCTCTCTCCGGCCGATTCTCTTGCGTCTGCGGCGTTAGGTTCTCTGAAAGATATATATGATTTTATTTACAAACTTAATTGCTCCTAAATGTTAATGTCAAAGGTAAAATTAATATTACGTTATTAATACAATCACTACTAGACACTTTATATGAACATCGTGAGAGAGGTCTTAATTTAATTGAGGTTTTGTGAAGCAAAATGAAATCAAGATTATGCAATCGAACTCAAATGCGTGTTAGGTTATAGGCCCACGTTTCAAAATCTACGAAACGATTTCCTGACACGGAGATTAGTACACACCATCACTAGCATTTACCACCCTTCTTACGTCACGCACTCATCAAACTGCGAATGTTAGAACGCAAATATACTGAAATAGTTCTAATCAAACAATCAATATAGTTGAAGTTTGTTTGCCGCCGTCAGAATCGCCTGCAGATACTTTGACAGACGGTAAGTTAACATGTCAGGAGCACTCGACGTTACTTGTTGAATAGCTACGGGTGATTTGACAAGGAAATACGGCTAATACGAGCAACATTTCAAGGAAGACAACGGCCTGCCATTTAGACACGATAGGTTTACGATTAGATAATGTTTGTTCCAAGTGTAAAATTTTTGACAAAGTTCCAAACTCAAATAACATTTCATAAACAATAGGTGGCCGTAATGAGACCTAGTTGGATTATAAGAGAGGCAATGTGTAATTATTTAAAATAGTGTTTTAACTAATGTAATTCTTAATGTAGCTAACTTCAGCGCAAGAGCAGTGTTGGTCTAGTGGCTTCAGCGTGCGACTCTCAGACCTGAGGTCGTAGGTTCGATCCGCGGCTGTGCACCAATGGACTTTTTTTCTATTATATGTATATTTAACATTTGCTCGAATGGTGAAGGAAAACATCGTAAGGAAACCGGCTTGCCTTAGAACCAAGAAGTCGACGGCGTGCGTGCACAGAAGGCTGATCACCTAATTGCCTATTAGATTAACAAATGATCATGAAACAGATACGGAAATCTGAAGCCCAGACCTACAAAGGTTGTAGCGCCATTGATTTTTATTTAACTTCAGTTCACCCGATACATGCGAGAGAGGCGGCACTCGTCAATTAATTAAGGCATTTAACAAGCGAATATTATATTTTTCGGCTATATGTTTTTATTTGTTCATCTAGAAAAATAAAATATGTTATTTTACGATCAACTCAACATCGTAAACTTGTCCAAATGTGTAGTGTTTACGCAAAAATCAATTACTTAAATTTAATAAAACAAAAGACTGCATTTAGTTGAAATAATATCGTTATACCAACCAGTAACTATTCTAAGTATTTCGGAAGGCGCCCCAGATTGTTTGAGTGCCTCTTCTATCTTCTGCCGCCTCTTGAATTCCAGCTCTAGTTGTTCTTGTATTTGTTGTCGTTGCTTCCGTTCTTTTTTCAATCGTTTCTGGTACATTACTAGAAAGAAAAATATTTAATTTAGATTTGGTATTTTAAATATAATATTAAGTTAAATCGCAATTGGAGTTAGTTTTTCTGTATTTAATTCAATATGTTTCTAATTACAAATTATTAGGATCGACTCTTCTCTAGGAGATTAATAAAATTTAAATAATATATAATCTTCAATTTTAATAAATTTTCTGTATAATAATGGTTTTGTAAAAACACAATTTTAAAGTAAATCATAAACTAGAAAGCATAATTTCTCATTAGCATTCGCTAGTAATTAATGTTGTTGCTAATGAATCGGTCGGGGTTCAATAGTGATCGACTCCTACGCATCATTTGTCTCACGACCCCTGACATGGTACATAATAATCTACCCATCACCTAGAGTTTTTATTCTCATTCCCTTACGTCTCTCCCTACTACATAATTAAGTTATTTTCTACTTAAAAGGTTACAAAGTAGGAGTACAAATAGATATTAGGGACGGTGTTAAGGTTAATTTCCAGATATGAGCTTCACATATGAAAAGGTTCGGTCTATACGAATGTGTTCATCCAAACGTCCAGTCAGTGGAAAATTCAACGGGCCGGTACAGTCTAACACCTCTGAAAAACAGTTTCTCACTTCGATGACGTTTATTTTTGGACCTTTTTATCTCACCTCATTTGTTTATTAACGCATTAAGAACTAATGGCCCAAGCAACGCTTTGTTTGCCTCTTTTGACCAAAAATTTAATTATACGGTTTAAATATTAATATCCAGCTCTAGAAGTATTAGCCATTCATTGAATTCAATAAGGCGGAGTAGCAATATGGGTCTATTGTTTTTATAAGTCAATATTTGGTTACGGATCGGCGGCGTCGCTTTGTGATGCGGCGCTTGCTTCAACATAAAATCATGAGCAAAGATGAATCGTAATAATTCTTCAATAGATTATTTCTTTTCGGCACCAAAGAGGTTTTTAATAAAAAGTTCTTATCCTTTGTTCTCGACAATAATGCCTGAATCAAAGCGAATAGTTCTTTGTGTTAATAATTTAATTAAATATTAGTGATGTTTTATTTATTTTATTGGTAACATCGCAAGCACGCAATATGTAACGAAACAATTCGACGAACGAGTGTATGAATAAAAACAAACCAGCGAAGTATTGAAGGAATCCGTTCAAAGGGGAAAAAATGCAATAAAAAGTCCATCTCGATACAGAATGGGAGTGTGGTTAAAAAGCAACGAACGAATATGGTTGCGAACATCCGTTGCAGACAAAAGTTCGGCTACTTGACTATGCAAATTATATTTGCGGACCGCCGCGGTTGAGACCCGATCTCCGACGTTTCGTTTCTATGTATAGGTGAACTCTATTCATATTTTCATCCGATTTCCTTCCCCTCGTTCATTTTGTTTCGTTTTTAAAAGTCGCGGAACAATGCTGCCTTCCGCGGGGCTCATTCGCCGCGAGCGATTTTCTTGCACGCTTTTCTTACTTATTTCGTATCTATCTCTTTATTCATATCCGGTTTTTCTTTAATACTTTCGACTCATAAATGCTTGAAACGGTCCCCTTGGGAGCTTTGTTCAAATAATATGTAAATGAGTAGGATCTTTGAGCGAAATTAGATATATATTATAAATTTGTTTTCTTAAACGAAATATGAAGTATTAAGTGAAGTTTTTTTTAATGATTCATGTAAATTAAGTTAAGTTTATTATTTTAATCAAATAGTTACATTTACCTTAACTTCTCACACTCACCAAGTATGATGGAAAGTAAATATGAATCTATTTTTATGACAGCCTCCCCTCTCAGTCGCACGAAGCCATTTAGATAAGTCTTTTTTATAGTTCTTTATTGAAAATAAATTGCCTAGAATAAAATCAGACACAGTCGGAATGGCTTTCCGATAGATGTGTATGAAATAATGTTTGTCAGATAAGATGAGTCACTTATCGTGGCGTATGTTCGGTTCAATGACGGTATTGATTGGAATGACTTACGTTTTATATTCCATATTTGAAATATAATATTTATACATCGATACTATTTGAATATAGAATGTTTCACTAAATTGTTCATGTCAATTACAGGTTTTGAACTGTCATGTTATTGACATTTACTCCTATTTAAATTGAGATATACACAGACTGAAATCAAAAAGTAAAAAATCATTTATTCATATAGCTAACAAAACGTACACTTACGAACGTCAAAAAGTAGAAAATATAACAGAGTATACGAAATTTCAAAAATACTTTAGTGTATACAAATAAATTATTGTTATAATTAATATTCAGACTTGTTTAATTTTTTTTATCGCAATTTGATTTTGACGTTTTTATATAGGCTTATTAGCAATAGCCCCCTTCGTTGTACATACAATTTTTACGTATTTTTTTATTATTTCTATTTTTAATTGTATTATGAGAAATAGAGTGTGAATAAATAACTGTATGCCTGTTTGTGAATATGTAAAGAAAGTAGTGTCGTGTATAAAAAGGCAACGATCGTACATCACCATGGTCCTCCCAAAGTGTCCGCGACAATATCCGTAAACTATTTGCTGACAGCAGTTTAGCTTTTTATCTGTTTCCTCTGTTTTATTTGGACAAAATTTATGAGGCGAGTGGCTCTCGCGATAACAATTTTCCTCAAAATTGCGCGGATTATTGTTCTTGTCGGCGAAGTGGGGACTCTGAGTTATGTGCTACGAATGACCTTAACTACACAGATATCTTTTATCTTTTCACTTATGTCTTAAAAAATACCCTACCTAAATTCAAAGATACGCACGCACGAACCGAATATTAGAAAAACTTCGAAATTCGAATGTTAATGGCCATTCGAATTTCGTTTTTTATTTAGATGTGTAATCTGTGTAGCGTTTTTAGCAGTCAAATGTCAATACCACGCGTATTATGACTTATAATATTCCATAACGTTACATTCCATATTTACAATAAAGGTAAGGGAAATTTGTTATGAAAAAGGAGAGAAAATTGAAAGCACTTTTATCAAACCGATCAAAGGGCCGGTCGGACATTCCAACTTCTTACGACGTTAGTAAAAAATACAATCTCTCTTTATAGTTACCATTCCACTGGTTATTATATCCGTGTCGATACAGCCGAATTACGGACCGTGAAATGTACGATATTGCAGCCCCCGGCGAAACGCCATTTTAGTGTTAAGATAATCTTTATTTCCCTAATTATAAAAAATATTCTGGTTTAAATTTTTTTACAAATGTAATACAAGCTTGATACGGAGTTTCTTTGGGAGCGTTAATATAGATGGGTATATAGTTATTATACCCATCTATATTAAATTATAGTTTATTTATAGTTAGCTTTTTATACGACTATTTTCAAACTTGAAGGGAACTATAAAAATATATCGAATTCTATTGATATAATTGTAATTTGAGTACCTAGTTACAAAGATCTTTACGCTACGATAAAGAAAGCTTAAGGTCCGAAAACTCCTATGTTGTATTATTACAACATAGTATTGGATTATCCAAAGCGGTTCATTTGAATATTTTTATTTTACATTTGTTTCTTTGATTATTTTCACTTCTAGGCTTCTAGAAGATTAGCACTTGTGTATCAGACACAAGGAGTTTTTAATTTTAATCCTAAATATTATTTTTATCTTAAGTTAACGATATACGAATTATTAATGATGATTGTTTTTCATAAATTTGTCCCATAACATAAGGGTGTTCGGCCATAAATTTTATGCTCCGTAAAATTTGTGATTACTCAAACATTTAGAACTATTACGACTTCACAGTTATAAAATAATAATTAATAGGCATACGTAGTATCTCTAGAGATAGTTTAGAATAGCAAAAACCTTTAATGTGAATAGAATATGGATAATTTACACAAAACTATAAAACTAAAATTGTTCGACTATTTTCTTTCATCATGGTTACATAACATCGTATTGTAAAAACAAATGATACACTAAATAAGAAAGAGACAGGTAGAAAGGGCAATCGAATCAGAATGAACACTGTTTTCGTTGGAATGGCTCATCGGGCCATGCTTCCTGCGAAGTGAGTGTGGTCGAAACACGACACCTTTATGCCTGACTTAATAATATTGTAGATATTCGTCGGAGGGCCATATCGCGTGCAAATGAAATCATGAGGCTTCGCTGCATACAAAATATTAATTTACGTGTAATGAAATTGTCTCACATAAATAAACAAAAATGGCACATTTGTAAATTGTAAAATAAAACAGACTCATACAAGTGGTGCCGTCATTTATTGGTGATTGCCTAATTTATTGGCCTCTTGCTGAATACAGACCTTTTGTTTCCCTTCTGGCTTCTGACTTCCGGGCTAAACGCTTTAAATAAATGAAGACGCCATGGACTGAGCTACGATTGCCAAACTACATGTTTTTCCATAAGTATATTTATGATACATAACTGAAATCGTCGACGTCGTTAAGGCAAAAACCTTAATCATTATTTATGACGGACGTTAATTTATGACAATAATGACATAAGAATGACGTACGTAAAGGTTATGTGTTATGTATCTTTGGTCGTGTTAAAATCAATTTATACGAAGACTAATGGTATCGATCAGCTAATAATGTATAGTGCAAGAAAATTGCATTTAATGACGCTTTGCAACACATGAACTTAAATAGAATTCTATTATAAGGTATGAAAGACTTACTTAATACAATATATTTTTTACTATAGTAGAATTTGCGTTAAAAGCTTTTCAATTGACAGTGGAGTCTAGCTCAACTTGTGTAATATCATGAACAAGGCGCAGGTAAATTTTAACAAATATTTACAGTGGATGATTGCAGCCGTCCAGCCAGATCCCCTTGGCAAACTGCGAATTAAAATGGGGACGAGAAAAATTAATCCTAATGCGATTTTAATGAACCCGAAATGAACGAATGTAATAATGAATTGTTAAGTCTCCAGATAGCTTTTGTGTAGGCAATATGGAAATAAGAATAAGATTTTTACCTTT